ATCGAGAAATCAATGATTTAAAATTAAGCCAAAGAGAATCTCAATTGATCTCAGAGTTCATCCTAAAATAAATGATAAATTTTCTTCTGAGTGCTGACATAATATGGCGAATATTAAGAAAGAGAAGTAAATTTGGCTTCGTATTGCATAACTATTTTGGACTCCCAAGTTAAATTGAAAAATTTATCTTTTAGTGCTAATCTGGCTGAAGGTGGAATGAACAATCCTTGATAACTCTAATAAATTCGTCCAATTGAATATATAGAAGAGGTGTTAGCTGAAAATTTTCTCTATACTTTACGTGCCATCACCTCTTTTCCTTACGTCCTAAGACGAAAGTGGCTAGCAATTATTTTGTTATTCTCCAGACAAAGCATGTCATTCAAAATCTTTCCGATCTTCAATAATCAATGTTTAGAAGCTATAGGGTCACTGAAACCTTTAAATGCTGGTGGTTTGAATGTTTGAAAAATTTTTCAAATGCCGATCAACGTCAACACCATATTTTCCTCTGAGCTCTGTGTTTGTAGAAGATCTTTCAATAACAGTCATTCTGTTAACCACATGAGATATCATCTAAACAATGTCTTATAACTCAATAGCTCTAATAGCTCTAGCATCTTTATTTGCCCTATTATGAATATCACTTCTATACAAGTTTTTTTCAGCTTGTAATTATTGTTCTACAATTGGCCTAGTTGTTCTAGATGGCTGCCCTCAATTCTTTCTGATATCGCTTAGCCATATTTACATGTTTTTGCATAATTTATTATTCAATGCAATTTATCATATAATAATTATGCCATATATATTTTGTACCCCAAGTCAAATGAGCTACCTACCCTAAATCTAGTCAACCTATAGCTCTACAGAAATCAATTCATTTTTTAAATCTCATTTTTTTTTATAAATTCAAATATGCTTCCATCATTATTCTCGTACAACTTTCTGTCGCACCATAGTTTATCCCTCCCCTTAAGGTTAACTGTGGTGAGACAGCGATGGACGACTCAGTCAAACACAATTCCCACCATTCTTGCTTTGACTTTGGTAAATAAAAACTCAGTGGGTAACAAATTAGTCTAACTCAATCATCGCAAAAATTTATAATCCAATTTAATTCATAATTTATTAACATTCTCAATTATTAGGAAGCATGTATGATAATGTCACTGAAAATTTTGAGAGCTGCGAAAAATCCAACATTTAAGAATATGTACCAAACAATGTGTATACCTTCCAGAACTTTATAATCTAAAAAATGTATAAAATCAAAACTTACTAATCGCCTAGTGCTCCTTATACCTTTCTGAAAATCAATAACATATAAGAGTGAGCTGCAAATTCAGCGAAATAATCAATGCTAAAATAAGATTTAATATACATAAAGAAAGTGACACACATGCTCAATTGTGACTCGTATACATGTCAACAACACATAATAAAAACATGAGTGAATCATGTGAGACATTAAAGATAAAATAGGCATGAAATGGAGTAAACAATAGCAACTGCAATAAATATATATTTCATTTGCTTCAGTTCAGACATAGGAATATTCATGATAACATCATACTTAATAATTTTTGTCTTAAAAACGTCTCTTATGATATAGGCTTTGACTACCTTCATTTTCATTTCATGTCATTGAATTGCCATTCAACCTGTCGGTTAAAATAACTATCGATAAATGTTGGGCCCTTCTCAACATATTATTTATCAATAATCAAGTGCGGACCAATTACCGCTCCCCCCTCACATTTCAATTTTTATAATAGAAGAGGAATTTTTTTATTTTGCCCCCATTACAAACTACTTTTCAAACTCCACTTAGTGGATGCAAAATCTACATGTAGCCCATTGCCTAGTAGGTTTATCAAGCCAAGCTGAAAATGTTCTCTGAAAAATATTCACACCTTCTGAAATTTGAAGCCCACATGAAACTCTATATAATGGATTAGGCATCTATGCTATTCTATTTACAGAACAATAATGCTTATTTTTCTTTCTTTGTAGGACTATAGAGTGCAGAAAATTTTTTGGCTTTTGACGTGAAAGCTTCACATTAAAGTTTAGGGTCATTTACATACAAACCACCAAATTCTTATGTATTTAGATATCTAGCATCTAAACTTTACTTTTTACATTTATACCTACCAAATCTTTCATATCACATAAAAAATATCAGCATTTAACTTTTAGATTAGGAATGTGGGATGCATGTAAAAATTGATGTTTAGGTATTATGTATATGTAAATACATTAAGAATTGAGTGGTATGTATGTAATTCTTTCTATAGTTTAATAGGGACATTTACATGCATATGTATTTAAATATATAACTCCTAAACTCTGTGCCGCCTACCATGACTCTTTGGTTGGCAGAGTTTGGAAGACTCCTGAGGTCACGAGCTCGATCCCGCCTTTGTGCGGAATGAAATTTTTAGGCACATGAGGTTGTTCGGCAGGCTCGTTTAATAGTCTATGTTCATTCTTTTGAGAAAAGAAAAGAAAAGAAAAAAATCTAACACGTAAACTCTATTTTTTATTTTATACCACCCAAATTTTTCATATCACATAAAAAATTCCACTATTTTAATTTAAAAAAAATGTGAAATACACTTTCCATGCATAGATAAGGTAACATATATATTAAAATTGAAGTTTAGGTGTTAATATGTAAATACATTGGAATTGAGTGGTATGTATGTAAATCCTCATAAATAATAAACATATATTATATGTTGTTTTTTTTGTATGTTCATTTACTAATTTAAACCTTTTAATTATAACTATTTTGCATTTTATTTAAGTCAATGTGGAGCTTTAATTGAACATCTTAACGAGCTTGTTCTTGAGTTTAAATGACATGTTATTTATTTTATTTTTTTTTTAAATTAATTTATTTATATAAAAAAGTGCCCACTTGAAAGGAATGGCTGGTTGTGCCCCTAAGCCCCTTGATACGAACGATTCCATTCTGCTTAGATATTAGAAGTCGAGAATCTCATCATTTTCTATCATTTGTACCAGCAGACCATTCATGTAATAGTATACTTGTCACAACATTTGATTCATTTTTTTAAACATAATTCCTACAACAATCGTTCATCATATGCAACTCTTATATTACATACATTTACAATAATATACGAATACTTGCAAGTAATGATTTAAAATCACACCTGGCTAATCACCCTAATGCTCATTATCCCATTTTAAAAATCAATAACATATTAGAGTGAGCTAAAAGCTCACATAAATAATAAGACTAAAGTAAAATTTTATAAACAGAAAGAAAGCACTGTGCTTGTTCAATCATGGCTCATATATATGTCAACAACATAATATAAAGATGCTTTTATTATATGAGACATTTAACGTAAAAGGGGCATGAAATGCAACAAAAAATAATAATTGTAACAAATATATATTTCATTTATTCATGTGCAGTCATCAGAATATCCATAGTAATTTCATAATCAATAATTGTTATCTTACGAATGTCTCTTATAATTACATAAAATTTGATTACATTTATTTCATTTCATATCATTGGATCGTCACTTAGTCCGTTGGCTAAAATAACTATTTATAAATGTTGAGCCCCCCACAATATAGCAGTTACCAGTAGCCTTGTTGATAACAACAGTTACTTTCATGATCCCATCGCTCTCTGTCATTCGTACCTGTAGGTCATTCATGTAATAGTTTATATATCACAACACATGTGACATTCTTTTAAACATAATTCCCTTAAAAATCATTCATCATTTACAAATCTTGTATCATTTACAAATCTTGTATCATTTGCATGTGCAATAGTAATGATTTATTAAACATACTCACTAGATCAATAAAAACAATAAAATCATGAATATCGTTAGTGACAGCTCAAGTTTGAATTCATGCAACATGTGCAAACATTCTTCAATATGATGAACTTTCTAAATAAAGTTGTCTATTTATAAATCATATTGTAAGCCTATAGATGATATTCTTCTTAACTTAACACATGATTATTTCTCATGAATTGATGGAGCAACTCTGACAAGTTTTGTTAAGCTCGCCTCGAGTTCACCCACTAGAGTAAATTTCTTGAAATGACACTTTCCTTAGAAGAACTTTCATGAATTTTTTAACTAAGATCTTGATTTAACCCAAATGCACTTTACTTATTTCCCACCTTGATGGGATTTCTCCGCATAAAGTTTCTATTTTGATTCTTAACTTAGCCAACGATCGGAACCAGTCTTCAACAAAAACAAACATCCAATTTAATCCAAACTTCTTTAAGCCTTCTTTAAACCCAATAGAAGGTTCTCATGCATGCTGTAATGTTCGTGGCATACAATTAATGAAAAGATAAATAATTAGGTTGTTGGCGTTGATATGCATTTTTTTTCCTCAACCACAAATTCTCCTTAAATCCTTTTTCCTTTTCTTTTATTCCTTCTGTTTTTCTTTTCTATTTTCCCTTCCTCTTCTTCCTCCTTTTCTCCTATAGATTTCTCGTTGTTAGCCGTACCTCGGATATAGTTCTAGATTTTTTCTCCTCCAGCTACTGCAATCGGGATGCAAGCATGCTTCCGTTTACAACGAAAGACAGAAAAAGATTGTAGGAAAGAAAACGAAGGTTTCAAATTGCATGGAAATGGGGATTCTTTTTACAGATTTCCTCCGATAACTCTCAATCGAGAGTTACGGTTTTTGTCATTTGCGTCTGATCACGCTCTGCTACAGAAACCGAGTGGAGACCTTGCGGGAATGAGGTTTTGGGAGAGGGGAATGGGAAAATATGAAGTCTCTTGGGAAATTATTTACCTTGTGATTAATCTTAGCCATTTTGATATCTTTGTTTTTGCTGCTTTCTTGATCCTTTTTTATTTCTTTTTTTTCTTACTTTCTTGATCCTTTATAAATTGGTGTATGATTGACCCTATTGTTGTTCTTTGAGTTTGTGTGCTATTCTTAATGACATGCATTTGAATCTTACCCAGTTCTTACCTCAAGATCGAGTATGCGAGTTTGCTAAGTTAACTCCTGTACAACTTCTACAAGAAACTGAGAAGGCTGTTGGTGACCCTCAATTACCAGTGCAACATCAGGGACTTATTGAGAAAAGGAGAGAATTGAAGGATCTTGAAGTGGTATGTATTTAGACGTTATGGACAGTCATGCAATTCTAAAGTTTATGTTTTGAGTACAATTATCCTACTCTTTAGCATGAGCATCTACAACCTGTGAATATCTGAGGTAATCTTCTTGGGAAAAATCTAATCAAAACTTTTGCTATTCTCCTTTACTTTTGTGTTATAGAGTGTTGCCAGAAATAAGGACACGTTGAATCAGCTCAAAGCTCTGAATGCGCAGCAAGAAAAGGACGTGGAGCGTGTCCGTCAAAGAGAGAAAATTTTGTCCGAGGCAAGTATGTTATTTTGTATTGTTTTGCATGCGGTATAATATTATTATTATTTCTGTTGATTGGTACTATACATTTGAGCTTTACATGACAGTTCTTTTATACGTGTGTGGTGTATTAGATGAAAGCCTTCACTAAGGCTTTGATGTTGATTCAGTATTTTAGAAAGTGCGAATGCAAAGTAAAACATGCACTTCATAAACTTCTTTCATATTTTATTAATTTAAAATGATATATAAAATGTTTGCATCTTAATTTAAAATGACACACAGACACAAAGACACACAGACACACACAGATATGCGCGCGCGTGTGTGTGTATACATGTATGTATGTATGCATATATATGTATACGTTTATATACATATGTATATATGTGTATATGTATATAAAGCATAAAAAGTAACTTTTAGATGTTTTTAATATTTTTAAAAACAATTTGTCATATTTGCTAGCCTTCAACCACCGCTAACTATCGCTAAGCGTTGCTGCTTACTACCATTGCTTGCCACCTCAAGTTGTCAAGCACCAATATGTTGCTGTCATTGTTTCTTCATTGGCACCGCTGCGTCTCTGATGGCTATTGCATCATCAACCCAAATTTATTTATTCAATATATAACAAAAATATAAATATATTTTTAACATGTCAAACATGCTTTATTTTATTTAATATCAAAACATAAAAAATAAAATAAAATAAAATAAAAAGAATCCCAAATGGCCCCTTCATAACATAATTTGCATCTCTAAATGTTAAAATTGATTGTATTGCTACGTATTTTCAACAATTATAATTTTAAGTAATAGTTTGTGAAGTTTAATGTTTGTTTTTTTTTTAAATTCTAGACCAAATATTCAATTTCTTGTGGAAGGGAAATTAGGTTCTTGCAAATTTACAGTTTAACTTTATATTGCATAATTATGTAAAATTTTATCAAAAAAACAGTTGATCAAAACTAAGGCTTTGTTTAGTTAAATGCATGTAGGAAACGTGCTCTTCAGCAGTTTGGCTGATGGGGTGATTGAATTTCCCTACGAAGTGATGTATAGCATTCTTAACAACTTTGGTGAAGGGTGAAGGAAAAGGGAATAATCCAAGTGTTTAGGTGGGAAATTTGATTTTGTGGTTTTCTTTATATATGGAGTTTGATTTTGTGTGGTACGTTGAGTGCTTAAAGGAGGAAGATTCCTTTTTTGATAGAAGGTTATTTGAGTTTGTTGATTTAATTTTGAGTTGTAATTTTGAAACTTTTATTTAACTAAAGAATTTATTGAGATATAGTTATTTATGAAAGAACAAAAGCTTGTAAGAAAATCAGTTGAAAGAATCTTATAATGTTTGTTAGGTATTTAATTTTCTTATTTAGGAAGCAAGTAATTCAAAGATCTAATGTTCATGGTTTTTTTTTTATGTTGAGCATGTCAGGAGCATCTAATCTTAATACTAAAATTACTTTACTTTTATAAGACCATCTCTTTTAAGTAATTTCATGATATTTGTATTAGTCAATTCTTAAAATTGTTTTATAATATGATGCATAATAAATATCCATATGTAAATTTTTATATATAATGTTTTTTCTTAATATTTATTATTTTAGAGTGACTACATAATAATAATAAGCATTTTAAAAATGTTCATTATTATGATGTTTAAAGATTAACATGAGATTTGTTGTCAAATAATGATGACGAACTTCGTAGGGAGAGGTGATTGATCTTACAAGCTATGATGAAAATATCATTAATTTATTATTATTTTATCATTAAAATAATTATAATATTTGTTGGACCGTCTAATTCATCCCCACTTGAACTGTTGAACCTCCAGCATCTCCTTTCTGGTCAATGTCTTTTTTGGTTTTCAAAACGTTGTTGTTAGGTTGAGTATAGCCAATATAATAAGTTGGATCAATTGAGAATAAAATATATTAAAGTAATAGTAGGAAACGCACCTATGAAAGTTAAGACAGCTTAATATGAATTTCGGTTGTTAGGCAGGTACACTAAAGAATACAGCATGTACAATAAGGCAAGTTGATAAAAATAAGATGTAAATATTTAAGTAATCAAAGTAGACCAAATATAATAGGGATAATCACATAACACTCAAAAAATTGCTATTTACAAAACTAGCATCCATGTGGTTTTTTTGAACTTCCAAACCGATGCATTTATGCATGCTTTTATCAAACCTTTGGAAATTTGATAGAAATGAAAAATATGGGTTGGAATTCTTTTGTAATTTTTGAAATTTGAGTGAGAATTCAAAAAATGGTTAAAAGATGATGCTAGTTTTGTAAATAGCAATGTTTCAAGTGCTATGTATGTAATTGCCTCATAATAATATGGATACTAGTTGAACAAAAAATGTGTTAGATAGATCGTTTGCAACACATAACATGAATGCATGAAAATGAAAGCGATTAATATTGCTTGTTCCAAATAGTTGGGATAAAACTAATTGTGATTATGGTATGATAAATTATGCTACAAAAAATTTGTTATTTGTTAGATATAGTAGTCAAAAGCTTTTATTCTCGATAAACAATCCATCCACTTTCGTAGAAGTTTATTTCATAACTCATCTTAGAAGTGGGGAGCTCCACTTCACTTAGTGGCAAATATGATCTTTTGATTTGGAAGCTTTATAACATACCATTAAAAATTGAAATTTTCAAAGGGCTCAACCTGGCTTGGAAACCTGAACACCTTTTATGAATTGATTTAATGAACCGCTTAAAATCATGTTAAAATGTACTCTTGTTATGATTAATTCATAAATTTTTTATTCTTTTGTTTGCGCAATTTTTTTTTCTTTTGTTCATGTAATGCTTTGAATCGTTCAATCTCTAAAATCACATTATTTTTTCTTTCTAGCCACTGACAATGCCACGTCCCTTGGCTTCTTTGAAGTAACACATGTCTCTTTCTTTTTTCTAGCCTTGCCAATGTTGCCACTCCTCTCTTACTTCCATGTTACTTCTATATTTATAGACGTTGCTCCACCCAACCATCATTTTTACTTTTTTCTTATTCTAGCATTGATATTGCGTCTCTATTTTCTCATTTTCTTTCTTCATTATTCTTTTTAGTGGCTACAGTCAATAGCTGCTTTCTCCTTGATTGTTTTGAGGTCAATCGTTAACAATATAATTGGATCTAGGATATCGGAAACATCTGCTCTTAGCCATATGATAGGTACTTGTGTAGTTGTCATAAGAAGGGCACAATGGATTGTTTTTAGATTTTTTACTATTAATATTTGAAATCGTTCTCTTTTCGAAGATGAGCCTCCACTCATATTACTAATGATAGTTTTTCATCTCCTAGAGTCTTCTACTTCACGAGCTCTCTTCATTCTTTGCAGCTATGGTTTAATTCTTAAACTCTTTTGAAATGTTATTTACCATAGATAAATTCTTTATTCTACACCTTTTAAATTAGATAAGAAGACAGAAGTCTTTTGATCTTCATTTTTCACCATGATAGGAAGAAATCAAATAATGCAATATGATTTGTAGTTTTTGTTTTGACTCAGCTTAGGAGCTCAGAGCTTTTGAGGGGCAACAAGCGATCATACAGGAGATTGAAGCCTAACCAACAATTTAAATACCATTATCACTTAAAAATCATTTTTTCTTTCTTTCTTGCTTATAGAACTTCCAATACCAACCACTAAATCAACAATTTCTTTTTTCAATATGGTAATCATACAAGTCTTGAAATAAAACATATGGCATGCAAATGATGTTCTAAAAGAAAGTATCTACATTTTCTTACACTTAAATTAAATCATTAAAGCCATCAAAGTTACGAAACATTAGTTACTTTGCGCCTGATATAATCAAAACCTTATCTTTCATCCATTTACTTCGAAGGGACTTAATAAAACTTTTTTCTCAACTAAGGTGAGTTAATGCAAATAATATAGTGAGTATATCACAACCTTAAACTATAGTTGATGTGACATCAAATTTTTTTTATCATCATGCATGAATTTTCAAGCATTTTAAGCAAGAAATATTTTAAATTTAGATTCACAATCACTCGAACCCCCATTTCAACAAATTTTGATAGTTAGACTGAGCGTTTATAACCCAATGACTCTAAAGGTTATCCAATTTGAGTTCAAATCAACCTAAATCAATTAGTTACTTAACATGTAGTCTAAAGTTTTAGTGCATCAATTAGATGACCAAATAACTTAAAATTTGGCATGTTTTAATTGAAATGAAGTGTCTCGATGAGAGAAATTTAGTGAACTCAAGTTCATTCACTTCAAAATTATATGTGATTTAAGGATTCAATGTTGATCGTCTAATAGAGTATTTTGAAAGATTAGCCAAATTACTAAAACATCCCTCTCAAAAGTTATAAATAGGCTTTTTTTCTTCACTTGAAGGAGGGAAAGGAGAAAAAATAGTACGTTGTTTATTAAAGCTTAACTCTTAAAATCCCGATAATTTTCGTCGGTCACCTGAGCTCGTCGCCGACCTCCAAGGGTCTCCTTCGACCGTTAACCAATGTCAACAACCAACAACTATTGTTTTGAATGTTATATTACGACTATTATTGCATCTTGAAACTATGACTTATGTAACAATTTATAGCTTTTGTGGCCTCCACTTATGGCTTGGTAGCTCCACAATGAGTGTTATAACGACCAAGTATGACTTCTATAATCAATTACAACTTCTATAGACAACTATGATTGTTATAGGCTCACCACGACTATTATGGTTAGCTATAACAATTATAGCCTCAATTATCCTTAACAGTTACGTCTATTGGGTTATTTTAATGTAGTTATGATTTCAACATCATTTTGTAATCACACATTCCCTAATCTAGGTGAAGAATGGATCTTTGCACTTTTATTTAGCTAGGTTAGGCCCAATGATTTTTTTCATTTATCAGGTTTTTCATATAAAAGATTTTGGTTTCTCCTCCCATGATTTTATTTTACTTATATGTGTTGAATCTCCGTGCAATGCCAA